ATAAGTGATTCAAAATCTCATGACATGAGATGTGTAAAATCTCATTGGAAGGATCTATAGGGTTCTAGATCATCCAAAATCCATCTATATATTGAGTAGAATGAATCCATGGCAGAGGTTGGTGATCATTGAAGGTTTGAGCATAGTTTGAGATTGAGTTTTCATAGCTTGCAAGTGCAATCGGTTTCACCAAATTCCTCCATTTCCTTCCATTTTCTTGATTGATTCTTCTTCCATGAGTATCAAGGATTGATTCCAGATCATTTCCAAGAAGAATTGGTGGCTAGATCGTGTGGGAGCAAGGGATTTTCAGCACCTGCAACTCTTTATCGTGTTTCAAGATTGAAGCACTTTCCATTGAATCTTTTGCATACAGAAGCAAGGAGGAGGTTCAGTGATCGTGTCCAGAAGATTTGAGAGCTTGAAGTGAGGATTTCGTGCATCTGTTATTCAAGAATTTCCAGGTTTGTAACCTTCTTCCTATAGCATGATTTAGGTAGATTTAGGTTGAATTAGGGTGCTAGATTAGTTGTAGAATGGCCTAGGATGGTTTTCAGATGGTTAATTGCTGAATTAGAGACAAAATAGGAAGATCACCATTTTCGGTTGAGATTGGGAGATGATGATTCTTGGGGTTTCAGAAGAAACTAATGGCATGGTTGAGTTCGTGGCAAGATTTGGAGTGTGTTTCATGTTTTGACCTCTTGGATTGGAGGCCTCTAGGAAGAACTAGGGTTGAAGGGGACGACCGGAGCTCCATCGGCGGTGGCCGGAGCTGGGCGCGAAGCTCAGAGCTTTGAAATGGAGAAGATGAAGTTTTCACCATTAGATCATGGTCTGACCATTGACTAGAAGTTGATCCAACGAATGTGTTTTAATTCTGGCTTGTGAAGAGTTTCTGATGAAACGATGCGTTTCATTTATTTGGCGCTTTGGGCTTAGTAATCTGAGTGTTATCCACACCCCCAAGCAAGCCCAACCCAGAATTTTAACTGAAAATGATTTCTATTTGCACTGTGTCTTTATTCATTTTTATTTGATTTTCATTATTTTTCCATTTAATTCATGATTTTTGTAAAATTCATAACTAATTGAATATTAATCCAATCAAATCCATTCTTTTTGCATATTACTCATGATTGAGTCTATTATTTTTTAGAGAAAAAATATTTTCATTTCATGTAATTTCTGATTTAATTGGAATTTTGTATTTTAATTGATATTAAAATGTTCATGTTTGATGCATAGTTTTGTAGAATTTTGTTTGATCTCATGGTGATGATTCTTGGCCTAATTTTTTGTGTGTGATTAGGTTAGACATGTATGATCCCATAGTAATTTTCTCACATTTTTGTGATGAAAATAGGTATGCCTTCTAGATTGATATTTAGATGCTTCCTTTTTAGGGTTTTAGGTTGATACCTTGTAATGTAGGATTTAGTTCTAGGTCCAAATTGATGACTTGATCTTTTAAACTAATGTGATAGAGTCATGATTGACCTAGGTTCCCATAGTAATATTTGTAGGATTTTACAATTGATTCTAGTATTTTAGTTAGGACTAACTTTAGTGCTAGGCTTTAGGTGATCCTAATTTACTAATTCAACTAGTTTAACTCATCTAGTTCCCTTAGATTAGGGTTTGTGCTTGATTTGCCTTTGGTTGAGATTGAAGACAAGTTGAAGACAAAGTGGGAGATGCTTGAGGTGGCTTGAGGTTGCTTGGAGCTTTGGATTTGTTGGTTCCTGAAGGTGTCTGATGAAGATTAGGAGATAGGACATATGGAGAGCCTTGTAGTTAGAATGATTTCTTTCACAAATATGGAAAGCCTCTTGTGCTTCCATTCCTTCCAATGACTAAAAGTCCTTCTCAGATATTCACATCCCTCCTTTGGAAGGATAAGTGGCTTTATCTGGGAAGTAGAACTTTGAGGGAACCAGTCTCTCATAATGATGAACCCTTACAGGCTTCCTTTGGTTGTCAGTAAGTTGTTTATCATTTCCTCTCATCCTGTTAAATCAATTGTATTCTGGTTTGAGTGTCTTGAAAGATGTTGGGCTTGAGTTTGAAGATGAGGACTTCACTGAATAGTGTGGAAAAGGATGATTCCTTGAGCATTGCCATTGCTGCTGAAGCTTGAAGAGCAAGAAGACCAAGTAGATACTTGAAGACCCAATGGAGATTGAGTGATGAGCTGAGGCTTAAAGGATTGAAGGATGAAGTTGACACTTTCATGTGATTGAAGATTACTCTGAGAATCTGAAGCTTGTAGGAGAAGAAGACCAAGTTGATACTGGTGAAGCAAAGAGAGCTGAAGCTTGAAGATTAAATTGATACTTATGAAGAGGGTTCAATTGAGATTGAGTGTAGAGCTGAGGCTTGAAGAACAGAGGATGAGTTGATACTTACTCTGAAGCTTGGAGATTCTGAAGGAATCAAGTTGATACTTGCAGTTAGGAGTGAAGCCTGAAGGTGGAATTGACTGAGGAGCTGAAGCTTGAAGAAGAAGGTTAAGTTGAAACTTATGTTGAAGGGTTGAAACCTGGGGAAGCAAATTGATATTTGTCATGAAAGATGATAGCCTTGAAGGGTAATTGAAGTCTGAAGACTGGATTGCTGTCAGAAGAGCTGAAGCTTGGAATTGAAAGAGGGGTTGATCTGCTGCTTTCTTGTCTGTTTTCTGCATTGCTGATGTGCCTTGTTTGATTTGCTTGATGCATTAGAATAAGTCCATATCTAGACTGACTTTAATCTAGGGGCATGATTGCACTAGAGGTTGAGTTGCTCCCTCTGCTTGTATTTTTACTGTATGGCTTTGCTTGCGGGTATTCGGTAGAGCCCTGCTCCCTTGCCCATGTGGTTTATTCTGCTTGATAGCATGATTTTACTTTCTTCTGTATGATTGCAGTCATTTACATTTTGCTTGATAGCACTTTATTTCCTCTGTATGATTGCAGTTATTCATATCTGGCTTGAGGTTGAGATGAGCTTGTGGAGGCTGCTGCCCCACACACATTTCCTCCCTCACTTGCATTGCATGCATTTTACTGTCGTTTGCTGTTTACTGTTTAAGCTGATGCTTCATCTGTTTTTGTGTATCATTGACATGATTGCTTAGGACTCTCATTTCCTCTAATAAGGAAGTGATGATAGAACGTTAGGTTGAAACCTATGCATGATAATTTCTAGGAGTTCCCTGTTTCAAACCTCAACTATAGGATGAATCCTTGGCATGACAACAGTAGGACTTGATAGTCTCCCCGTAGTTGGGCCTGTTCTCTTCTCATCTCAAAACAACTTAAGATACAGTAATCATGAATGATTTCTTTCGTACGTTACGAGCCTTAAGCTATTTGAGAAAGGATTGTTGGAGAGATTCTTTTCAACAGTCTGGATGTTTAGTATGGCACCCTTTGGGTGACATGCGACGCATTCACTCTCAGGTCATAGTCTCTAGTGCGATTGAAATTGCAAACACAATAAAAAACACCTCTTCCATAAAAGACAGTAAACAAACTTCAAACTTTTTTGCCCCGTGGGCCCATAATTCAAAGGAAACTTTTCTGAAGAAAAGAGTGTCGTTAAACTTCAGCGCCAACGCAAACAGGCTTTGTCCCTCACTGCTGGAACTGCTGTTTAACCCTACTCGATAAAACAGATGAATCTGAACCCCCGTAATCCGTATTATCCCGAACTACATAAGCTCTTACATCTCATACCTGTTGAGAGTACGTAGGCACAATACTGACGTATTGGCGAGCCACCTTCCCCGTAACCCGTAGTTAGGCGAACTACGTTGGCTCTGATTTCTCATTCTCTGATGAGAATACGTAGGCATAAAGCGCGATGCTTTGCCGAGTCATTTTTCTTTTCTTTTTAAGCCAACCTTGATAGGTAGATAGATAAAACCAACCCGTCCATTAAACACAACAAGCGTGGATCCCATCGAGTACGATGGACGTGAGGGGTGCTAATACCTTCCCCTTGCGTAACCGACTCCCGAACCCAGACAACGGTTGCGACGACCTTGTCTTACCTTTTTCGTCAGGTTTTTCCGATCATTTCCTTTCCCGCTCTGAGGGATAAATAACGAAAGGTGGCGACTCTTCTGTTTTGCCGGCACCTTATTTTCGCGGTAGCGACAGTTTGTATACACTTTTAATATTTTGTTTAGAGTCTGGACATCTTCAGAGTTAGAATTCATTTCTAACTTTCTACACACTCAACAAACTAGTTAGAGTATTGTTATCATCAAAACTTAAGGATAGTTGTAGAATCAAACTTGTTCCAACAATTAGGGCAAAGGCACAACGGGAAAACAAGATTATGAATGTTTGAAATGACTTCTCTCTTAAAAAGTTCGTCCCTTTTTTAATTGACTATATTGGTCAACCGAGAGGTAATATCTTTTGCATCAACATTTTCAAATACATTTTTTTTCATTCTTCTATATATTTTGCAAATTATTAATTAATCTATTACCTTGGTTGCATTTTATAATTAATGTGGTAGTTAATTTAAATTAATTTTTAAAATATGGATATATATATATATATATATATATATATATATATATATATATATATATATATATATATATATATATATATATATATATATATATATATATATATATATATATATATATATATATATATATATATATATATATATATATATATATTTATATATATATATATTTATATATATCATTTGTTTATCTATCAACAAACACTCTAACTTCATTTTCATTCTCTTAAAAAAAATCATATGGCAATATATAGCGGTAGTGTCCGCTTGAAAGTTATTTTTCATTTACAGTGTGTTTTAGAACACACCAGTTCATGCCACTACTTTCATACTGGCTCACATGCGTTCGGTCTCGAATGCTAAGTAAGGAGCCATCGCCTAAATACGAAATAATTGCGACATACAAGTAGATAAATAGCAAATATATCAATTATTTCAAACATTATTAAAAAATACAATATATTAAGATCTTAATTAGCAATGATTGCAATTTTCTGTCCAGCATCACAATGACCAGGCTCGCCACTTATGAAGTAGTTTCCTCCCTTAACAAGTGTAATTCTATCGGCTCCAGACTTATAAAACTCAATTTCTCGAACATAACATGTATTATAATTATTCTCGGTCACTTTCACCACACTATCTTTTGAAGGGTCGTAATTAAATACTGCATGTAGAAAACAATTAAATTTAAGATTATAGTTTTGAGATTTTCCAAAAACATTTACTACTTTCATGCCAAGAAAAAACAATAAGGGATGCTTACCAAGTATGTCACCTGCGTTGAAAGTTGTTTCTGCAGGCCAATTTTCAATATTAAAGGTCCAACCATGTTCATCACCAACAATATGTGTCTCTGCATAAATCATCTTAGAATAAAATACAAACATACATAATAGTAACATTATAATAGTACTTGCACCATTGCCTCTTCTCTCACCCATCCTTCAATTGATCTAGCTAGCACTTGACAATAATTTTGAGTGCTAACTAATCACGATAGATGGTTTTATAGAATAAATGTACCTTAAAAAAACACTTTCTTTAGTAATTTTCTTATTTCATTTGACTAGTGATGTATTTGGTCACAAGATACATGAGTAGTCAAATGAAAAACAAAAATATCAATTATATTTTTGGAAATTTTAATTTTTACATTTATTGAATAATTAATATATTTGATTTATATATAAACCATGTATGAAAAACATGAGAGATTACATAATATATAAAAAAGAAGAGGATCCAAATCCAGTTTTTATTGTTTTTTTTTTTAACATTAGTGAATGTGTTTACTTTTTTACCGGTCAATAATTTTGAGTTCTAAAAAACCTGAGAGATGGTTTGATAGAATAAATGTACCTTAAAAAAAAAAAGTTATCAAATGAAAAACAAAATACCAATTATACTTTACAGTAGTGACGCAAAAGAGTTAAGAAAAAAATGAGTATTAAAGGAAAAAAAATATGGTTCTTGACTAAAAAAATCAATTTTTTAAAGTGTATTTATTGTATATAAAACTTTTCTAACCTATTTGTTTTTAATATTAGTGGATAGTAAAAAGTCAAATTCTCTTGTTATAAGAATACAATAATTTGTATTAATTGGATTGATTTGTTTCTATTTTAATAGCAAACAAAATTATAGAATATCATTTTTGAATATTTTTACATTCATTAATATATAAAATTATTAGTGAATGTATTTATTGTTTTCCAATTGCCTTAAAGAAATATTTTTTTGAAAATATTTAAAATTAAAAAAATTAGTAATCGGATTAATGTGATGTTTTTTTATTTTTTTTATGGTAATAAGTATTGGATTGAATCAAATTGTCCAATCAAATACTCGAAAGTTAATTTTATAAATATGTGGCGTCCAGACCGACCCTCGCGTGTCCGTCTATCTTCTTTTTTAATTAACACACCTAAAAATTTAAATTTATTTTTAATTTAATATTAATTTTTAATGTAAGTTACGTAGAAAGTTAATAGTATAAAGTTAGATAGAAAGTTAATAATATAAATTTATGCCAAAGATGATAGTAGTGATTTTAATGAAAGTTATTGTATGTTTATTTATTAAAGGATAAAATTGGTAGAAAAATATGTTACACCAAAACACCATATTTTACTTTTATATATGTTATAGAAAATTTTATATACATTTAAAAAATTACTATGTGCAATTAATATTTTTAAATTTCTCTACTACAAATTATTTTATAAATTATTTCTCCTTAATAGTATGTGAAAAATAAATTTAAATAGTTAATAGAAGTGAGAGTAATAAATATTTTCGACTATATTAAAAAATAATATTAACAATTTATTGGTCCGGTAAAACAATTTATAATTTAATTTTTTTCAAAGCGACTTATGATAAAAAAAAACATGAAGAATAAATGTTTTTTTTTACCATCAAAGGAATTGTATTAAAACGAGCACAATAGTACTCAACCCAAATACAAAATAAAAAATAAAACAAAACTACTTCAGAGCCTCTACATGTCCAAACAACTTTAGATCCACTTTCAATTCTATGTTAAAGATTTTGCTACAAGAACAATCACATGACTCTCTTTCATCCCACTATTAAACAGAGTATCATTTCTAATTAATCAAATAGCTCTCACAATAAATAATCAAATGAGAATCGTACGGTTTTTCTTTGCCCTCTTCCATATTACATAGTCAAATAACAACAAATGATAAGAGATATCAAGAGATAAGCTAAAGTTATTCACCCTTATCCAATCTAAAATCGAGGACCAAACCTAACAACTACAATATAGTTAATAAAAATATGATAATGAGACTCATCAGTGAAGGTTCAAGAAACAAAAGAAAATAGGGAGGGGTGAATTGTGTTTTTTTTATCATAGTTTTTTGCAACCTAAAAAAAAGCTTAAAGCAATACAAACAATGATAAAATACGCAAGGCATTTTATCCTCGTTCACCATTAATAAGGCTACCTCCAGTCCACACAACTAAGTGATTTTCCCTTAGACAAAGACTTAATCTAATAATTAAACCTGATTTCAAATGCAATGACAACCTGCCACTGCTTTCTTAAGGATTCTGACCCAAATGGTCTCTTAAGACATCTGATGGCCACTGACTTCTTAAGATCCTGACTTCTTAACCTTCAATAACTACTTGTTATTGACTTCTCAAGATCCTGACCTAACCTGGTCGCTTCAGGATTACAATCAGAGTTGTAATAACAAGTTTTTGTGTTTACAAGATGCTTTAGATAAGCAGATACACGCATTTAAATCACGATTTACACGTAACAAGAATATTCAATGAGTTTTAGTTCTAAGTGTATAAGTGTAATAAACACTTCTTATTTTTCTGTATATGTTTTCTAAGTGTGAGCGTTGATGAATGTCCAGTGAGTTTCTCAAAAGTCACTTTCTTCAATCTTCAAAGACCTCTTTAAATATATGCAAAGTACACCCGTTGGAGTTGAAGATGAAATATCATGTAAGTATTCGTTGCAAAAAGACCACTTCATATGCAACACTAGAGTGGCGTTGTAGTCTGTAGTTGCTGAAGATGATGGGGCACGAAAGACTTCTTTGACACATAGTACAATACTTAATTTGCAGAAAAAGTATATTTGCTTTTGTACTTCTGCCATATCAAATCTTTGCTAACTTTTGGCTTGAACAAATTCTATTCAGAGACTTCTAATATTTGTTGATGAAGCTTGACTAGCATTTCCAAACTCTGTCATCAGGACTTTGTGAAACAAATAGAGTCTTTGGACAACTAGGTTTTGAGACTTTCACAAAATGATAGTCAAAGATTTTTATTAGAGTCTATCTGGATGGTTTAGGTTCATAAACGTTAACTTGATAGATCAGAGTTGAATTGTTTATATACGCTTTTAATATTTTGTTTAGAGTCTAGACATCTTCAGAGTCAGAATTTGTTTCTAATTTTCTACACACTCAACAAACTAGTTAGAGTTTTATTATCATCAAAACTTAAGGATAGTTGTAGAATCAAACTTGTTCCAACAATTAGGGCAAATGCACAATGTGAAAACAAGATTATGAACGTTTGAAATGACTTCTCTCTTAGAAAGTTCATCCCTTTTTTAATCGGCTATATTGGTCAACCGAGAGGTAATATCTTTTGCATCAACATTTTCAAATACTTTTTTTTTATTCATTTATATATTTTTTAAATTATTAATTAATCTATTACCTTGGTTGCTTTTTATAACTATTGTGGTAGTTAATTTAAATGAATTTCCAAAATATGGCGATATATATATATATATATATATATATATATATATATATATATATATATATATATATATATATATATATATATATATATATATATATATATATATATATATATATATATATATATATATATATATATATATATATATATATATATATATATATATATATATATATATATATATATATATATATATATAAGCAGATACACGCATTTAAATCACGTTTTACACGTAACAAGAATATTCAATGAGTTTTAGTTCTAAGTGTATAAGTGTAATAAACACTTCTTATTTTTCTGTATATGTTTTCTAAGTGTGAGCGTTGATGAATGTCCAGTGAGTTTCTCAAAAGTCAATTTCTTCAATCTTCAAAGATCTCTTTAAATATATGCAAAGTACACCCATTGGAGTTGAAGATGAAATATCATGTAAGTATTCGTTGCAAAAAGACCACTTCATATGCAACACTAGAGTGACGTTGTAGTCTGTAGTTGCTGAAGATGATGGGGCACGAAAGACTTCTTTGACACATAGTACAATACTTAATTTGCAGAAAAAGTATATTTGCTTTTGTACTTCTGCCATATCAAATCTTTGCTAACTTTTGGCTTGAACAAATTTTATTCAGAGACTTCTAATATTTGTTGATGAAGCTTGACTAGCATTTCCAAACTCTGTCATCAGGACTTTGTGAAACAAATAGAGTCTTTGGACAACTAGGTTTTGAGACTTTCACAAAATGATAGTCAAAGATTTTTATTAGAGTCTATCTGGATGGCTTAGGTTCATAAACGTTAACTTGATATATCAGAGTTGACTTGTTTATATACGCTTTTAATATTTTGTTTAGAGTCTGGACATCTTCAGAGTCAGAATTTGTTTCTAATTTTCTACACACTCAACAAACTAGTTAGAGTTTTATTATCATCAAAACTTAAGGATAGTTGTAGAATCAAACTTGTTCCAACAATTAGGGCAAATGCACAATGTGAAAACAAGATTATGAACGTTTGAAATGACTTCTCTCTTAGAAAGTTCATCCCTTTTTTAATCGGCTATATTGGTCAACCGAGAGGTAATATCTTTTGCATCAACATTTTCAAATACTTATTTTTTCATTCTTTTATATATTTTTTAAATTATTAATTAATCTATTACCTTGGTTGCTTTTTATAACTATTGTGGTAGTTAATTTAAATGAATTTCCAAAATATGGCGATATATATATATATATATATATATATATATATATATATATATATATATATATATATATATATATGTGTGTGTGTGTGTGTGTGTGTGTGTGTGTGTGTGTGTGTGTGTGTGTGTGTGTGTGTGTGTGTGTGTGTGTGTGTGTGTGTCTATATATATATATATATATATATATATATATATATGTGTGTGTGTGTGTGTGTGTGTGTGTGTGTGTGTGTGTGTGTGTGTGTGTGTGTGTGTGTGTGTGTGTGTGTGTGTGTGTGTGTGTGTGTGTGTGTGTGTGTGTGTGTGTGTGTGTGTGTGTGTGTGTGTGTGTGTGTGTGTGTGTGTGTGTGTGTGTGTGTGTGTGTGTGTGTGTGTGTGTGTGTGTGTGTGTGTGTGTGTGTGTGTGTGTGTGTGTGTGTGTGTGTGTGTGTGTGTGTGTGTGTGTGTGTGTGTGTGTGTGTGTGTGTGTGTGTG